CAAATCATTCAGTTTACAAGGAGAATTTCCAGCAAGTAAATGTAGTTATTAGACGTTATACAAACTGTTGTATACTGAAAGCTATTTAATGGATGTAAATCTGAATAACTTAAGAACATCATTATCACTATTTAGATAAAGTTCACATGGATTAATGATTGAACTAGGTAGGGACAATATTATGTGAAGAATTAAGAGTGTGTGAATATGGTTTTACGCCTATTTTAGCAATAGTCCAGCAATATCACAGTGGGGGACACCAGAACTGGGCTTCTGGCAATCAGATTGGCAAAGTCAAAACAAGGCAATTTGGCCAAGAACTTTAACTCAAGCTTCAGGTATATCAATGATCTGATATCGTTCAATAACACTCAAATAGCCAATTCCCTTCCACTGATTTACCCATCTGAACTAAAACTAAAGAAGACCAGTGAGACCGCCTCATCTGTTTCATATTTAGACCTGTGAATAAAGATTCAAAGGGACAAAACACTCTACACAAGACTGTATAACACGTCGAGCAATATTCCAGCAGCTCCAGCCTTCGGTGTTTACATTTCGAGCATGCTCTTTCTACCAAGATTTCAAAATCCGTCATACGACTTTTGCTCAGACGTTGTTTGATCAAGGTTACAACATTCAAGGCCTCGGTTAAGCTTTCAAAACGTTTTATGGTTTAAGGTTTAATACGCATCATTGACAAAAAAGATGTCCGATGCAATTCCCTATGCTATGGTGTGGCATTACAACTCATTGGAGAACACGATAATCAAAGCGACCAAAGCCAATCCACATACCCCAACCCATCTCTGTTAAAGGCAATATGAATAGCAGGATAGTACTCGCCCTCACATTGCACGTGTTATACTGTTTGAGGCAGCCACACACACAGAACATACATGTATTTGTCATATCATGTCTTATCATAACCAAATGTCATGCTGTTTTATGTGAAGCACAGATGATGAGAACGTGGTGATGATGTTTGTTACAAGCGACATGTTATCATGCATCTTAATTTGTCCCAATTTGATTCCAATTGTATTTCAGACGTGTCTTGATCAAAATGATAATTAACTTCATATTTGCATAATGGACACATATATAAGAACGTAAACTTCAACCCACATGTATCCGCCATCAGACGTCATTTAACGCAGCCACAGACTGAAAAGGTAATCTTCTATTTCGGTACGTATGGGCCACTGGCTTTGCGTACATAAATACATGTTACGATATGGATGTAATGTATTCTACAACTTGCCAACAAAATAGATGTTTGTTGTAAAGGCCACCAGAATAACAAACTCTCCCTGAAACACCGTCGCTTAAAATAAGCATTGCAATATGTTACAAAACTTTATTCCAATCCAACTCATCCTGCATATAAATGTGTTTTTAACCCTTCTTATGAGGATTTGTATTGAAAACAGCAGCGCTTCTTCCATCACTTGGAAAAAGAATAAAACCTGCCATTTCTGATGCTAAAAGTAACCTTTCAGTTATATCTCCCACTCAGATTTTTTCTTCTGGCAGTTTATAAAGCCAAAGATCGATCTGATGTTAACCAACCTAAAGATACAAATCAGTTACGTTATCAGCAAAAATATAATGAACTAAGAGGCACCTACAACACTTACAAAGCTATTTTCTCAGAAGGATCCAAGGACGGTGGTGCAGTTCAATTTGTACTGCAGAATCTTAGTTGTCATTTTTGAACAACATTGCCAAAGCTGTTTTCAATTATTGGTATGCGCCGCCGCCTCGCCTGTATCAAAGCAAATGGTGGTCACATCCTATAACGACATTGATAACTTAGTTGTTACCCCTTCCCTCTTTAGGGTGTGTGGCTCTGGCTTCTGTTACCAGGTATGCGTTCTGTCAACGAATCTGTTGTGATGAAACACTGATCAGACGAGAAACCAAATATTCTGCTGTTTTTGCAATAACATAACATTTACACCACTTTCTGTGAAACACAGATGATGAAAACGTGGTGATGATGTTTGTGTATGTTTCTAGCGATATGTTATCATGCATCTATATTCGCCCCACTGCACGTGATTATGATTATAGACATCGTATGTTTTATATTTCATTTTACAACAGTTTTATAACAGATGGGACGTGATCATAGTGATGATTAACTTTATATTTGCATAATTGACAAATATATAAGCAGTTCAAAGTCAGTCCACATGTATCTGCCAACAGACGCCATTTAACGCAGCCACAGACTGAAAAGGTAATCTTCTATTTCGGTACGTTTGGGACACAAGCTTTGTGTACATAAATACAGGTTATGATATGGACGTAATGTATTCTACAACTTGCCACTTTAAAGATATCATTTGTAAAAAACCAAACCATATACAAGTATTCTTTGAGTGCTGACTATGCACCAGTACAGCTCATGTTTTAGATATAATATCACTAATTAAAGGTATAAATTGAAAATCAAACATGTTATAAAGTCATCTGAGAGGTATAGTGTCCTTTGTTCTTCGGTTTGTTAAACATCCGATCTATTTCCAAATTATAAGAGCTGCATCCAAAATGTCCAAGATATTTTTTGAATTATTTAATAGAAATAAATCTAAAATTGTCTCAGCATTTACAATTAGTGCAACTGAGCATAGTATGGAACCTGTGGATAAAAATTGGCTTTATAACCACATGTTAGAAATACCCATGCACAACCAAAGCATGATCTTTAATTGACCTTAACGATAGAACATGTTATAACACTTATTGCGAATGCTGTTTCTGACATTTGAATGAGAAAAAGCCAGTACTGTATGCACTGTTTGATTGGAAACTTTCACATTTCCTTAAGACAGCGTAACTTGATGTGGATGCTTTTACTTTTAAATATTGATTTCACACATTACGGTGTTCCTTTTCGATTTCATTGGTCATCATGACCCAAAATTCGGAAACATACCAACAAAAGAGTGATTTTTCCTGCAAAGATTTGATTTAAGTGAGTGAGTTGGATTTTACGACGCTTTAAGCAATATTCCAGCAATATCACGGCGGAGGACACCAGAAATGGCCTCCACACATTGTACCCCTTTGGGGAATCAAACCAGGGCCTTCAGCGTGACGAGCGAATGCTTTAGCCACTAGACTACCTCACCGCCCCAGAATAGCAATGAAAGCCTTCCCACATGAACCTAGACCTCTTTATGATCAAAGGTTTTCGCCATTTTAATCTGTTACGGAAAGACAACCTCATGTAATTATAACCTTAACTACCTCAACTTTGGTACCTTTATGAAGCCATTTCTTACAACATCATGACCCTTCCAATTTCTTCAATGAAACATTCTTCGCCTTATATTTTCTGCAATCGTCCAATGAAAACAGTAATGTTCCACCTCAGTATTTGTTGGTTAGCTCAGAAAACAAGTCGATGACACCAGCAAATAACAGTATATGTATGTACACTACAAAGATGCAGTTGCACTCGCAGAACGACCCTGCTTAAGCTCCGCTGCTAATTTATTGATAAAAGAGTGGAACTAAATGGACTGAGCCGCACACCAACGTGGCAGTCTATCAAGGAAATACGCACTGAACTTTCATGAAGTGAAATTATTATCCCTGTTTTCAAACACACTGCTAAAATTAATAATAGTCCATTTGTATGGTGCTTTTTCTATGCTCAATATCATGCTGAAAGCGCATTATTACCCGGTGATTGGACCAGTGTCTTCGGGAGAATACACCCAAGGTGTCTGTGCTATGTCACGCCAGGTACTCATTCACTGCTGGAGGCGTAAGTCGCTTGCTGTGTGACATCATGACGAATTTGCACAAAACTAATTATGGTCACATAATTGTTTCAGTTTCAGTTTATGAAGCTCAGTTACACTGTTGATGCCTTATTTCATTATCAGTTATGTCACGGTTATTCGTACCCTTATAAATATGACAGATACAGGCCACTCCTTTCCCTTTCGTTTTGAAACGTTTTTGACAAATGAACCACATTATAAAGAATAGGTCCTTCGTATCCAGCCGAAAGAAGTAGACCTAGAAACGCTTATAATAGTATAATAATGCCAGTTATTTAGTATAGTATTGCCAGAGGAGGTTGATGGGATGACCACATTCGATCTTTTATTGAGCCTTGTGTAGTTTTTAGCGAATATCAGAAAACGAAAATACAAAAGGATATATTGTTTGACAGATTCGAGGTATTTAATTATATCAACCACACACTTTTGAGCTTTTGGGGGAGCATTATACTATCTATAGTAAGAGTAGTGTTGGTATGTCTGTCCATTCATGATATGTTTCTATAAATTTGTCCTGGTGCTAAAGGTGATATCATATGTTATTTGCACATTTAGACTTACCTCTACATTTTCTACCCGTGGGAATTCTGAGTTCAGAATGCTGGCCTTAAGAGGTGATTTGCTGGCGTGGAGCTTTGCTCATATTATCACCCACTGGATTGTCCGGTCCAGTTTCGATATCTGATAGTGATTCATAAACACCTGCCACACTCAGCAACATTCCAGCTTTATGACAGCGGTATGTAAAGTAATCGAAACTGGACCGGACAATCCAGTGATTGACATCCATTGAGATGCATTGACTGGCATCAACCAAGTCTGACAACCCCGACAACCCGACCCGCTTGGCCGCCTCAAGGGTTGCTACAAAACAGTTCTAACCCTGATCCTAACAGGTCACATGCTTAACGTATAGTCGGAATCGTACAATAGACACTGCTCTTATGGCAGGTTCTTATAATTATGGTAAGGATTCTGTCACTTTTATTTATAGGCTGCAGTTATATAGCTCTATTAATGCTGGGTATTCTTCCGCGCATTCATTGACGTTAAAAAGCCTTTGATTATGTTGATAGGAACATATCATGCATCTATATTCGTCCCACTGCACGTGATTATGATGATAGACATCGTATGTTTTATATTTCATTTTACAACAGTTTTAAAACAGATTGGACGTGATCATAGTGACGATTAACTTTATATTTGCATAATTGACAAATATATAAGCAGTTCAAAGTCAGCCCACGTGTATCTGCCAACAGACGCCATTTAACGCAGCCACAGACTGAAAAGGTAATCTTCTATTTCGGTACGTTTGGGACACGAGCTTTGTGTACATAAATACAGGTTATGATATGGACGTAATGTATTCTACAACTTGCCACTTTAAAGATATCATTTGTAAAAAACCAAACCATATACAAGTATTCTTTGAGTGCTGACTATGCACCAGTACAGCTCATGTTTTAGATATAATATCACTAATTAAAGGTATAAATTGAAAATCAAACATGTTATAAAGTCATCTGAGAGGTATAGTGTCCTTTGTTCTTCGGTTTGTTAAACATCCGATCTATTTCCAAATTATAAGAGCTACATTCAAAATGTCCAAGATATTTTTTGAATTAATTAATAGAATTAAATCTAAAATTGTCTCAGCATTTACAATTTGTCCAACTGAGCATAGTATGGAACCTGTGGATAAAAATTGGCTTTATAACCACATGTTAGAAATACCCATGCACAGCTAAAGCATGATCTTTAAATTGACCTTAAAGATAGAACATGTTATAACACTTATTGCGAATGCTGTTTCTGACATTTGAATGAGAAAGAGCCAGTACTGTATGCACTGTTTGATTGGAAACTTTCACATTTCTTTAAGACAGCGTAACTTGATGTGCTTTTACTTTCAAATATAGATTTCACACATTACGGTGTTCCTTTTCGATTTCACTGGTCATCATGACCCAAAATTCGGAAACATACTAACAAAGGAGTGATTTTTCCTGCAAAGATTTGAGTAAGTGAGTGAGTTGGATTTTACGACGCTTTAAGCAATATTCCAGCAATATCACGGCGGGGGACACAAGAAATGGCCTTCACACATTGTACCCATTTGGGGAATCAAACCACGGCCTTCAGCATGACGATCGAACGCTTTAGCCACTAGACTACCCCACCGCCCCACGGACATTTATGAGTCACGGACGCATTCATTGACGTTAAAAAGCCTTTGATTATGTTGATAGGAAAAATATATTGTTTCTTCATCTTCGCTGTCATGGTAAATTGTTCTGCTTAAAAGTCTATACACCGAAGTCGGACAGTGAGCAGCATCTGGTAGATTCCGTACTTTGCAACCAGTACCTGTGTCAGACAAGGTTGTATACTTAGTCCCATATTATCTTTTTTTTTTAAATGAACTATCAAGCAGTATAAGGTTGGAGAGTTCTTGCGGGATATTTGTATCTCAAGAAATAGAAGATTTTATGTTATTATTGTTTGCTGAATCTTTGCAAGGATCTTTCTACTGGCCAATGTGACATCATCTTTTGCTGGTTACCAAGTCATGTAGGCATAACAGTTAACTCAAAAGCCGATGCTGCAGCTAAAGCAGCTCTTTACAAACCGGTATATAGACTTCTTATCCCATATAGCAATTTCAAGCCGACCGCCAAGAGTTATACTCGAGATCTAATGCAAAAACAAGTAGGAATCAATAAACTGGAATTTAAACCAACGTTCAGTCATACGTATTTCGGTTGTCAGTCAAGACATGGTGATGTCGTTTTGCGACGATGTCATTTTAGCCACAGTCGGTTTGTCTTAGAATATCTGCTGAAAACATTTGATGACAGACCTCCTAAGTGTATTCCTTGTGATGAAAGGCTAATCGACAAGCATATTTTGCAATCACAACGGATTCACAGTATCAAACAGTAAATCTGAAAGATTTCTTTTCCTGTGTAAGCGGGCATCTCATCTTAAGCTACTTGAAATAAATTCACCTGTATCATAAATTTGAAAAATGCATGTGAATTAATTGCTTGTTTTTAAATTTGGTGTGATGCTGTTATCAACAAAGATTAAAGAAGGCTGTGCAGCTGCCAAGGAGGTTAAAGTACCGTAAAATGATTGTCCCCTTGTACGACACATAACTCCTATCATAATCGATATAACTATCATCAACCAGTGTTTTAAGCCAACTCATCCCTGACTGTTTTTAATATTGGCTTGTATTGTGCACAACCACCAGTAGCTAAGGTGATGAAGTAAATCCCGCTGGAGTATCATGCAGGAAGAGACACCATACGTCCCCATGACCCCGGTTCAGGTGGCCTAGCTTTGGTTACTGGTGGCCATTTGCTCGTGTTTAAACTGCATAAATAATATTGTTATGTCCAAAAATGTTTGACAAATATGTTTAAAAGTTTAATTTGTATTCATGACTCTCTTGTCTATTTGTCAACTTGTTCTCGTCGCTAAAGGCTGTCAAATTGCTGATGCAACGTTAGATTTTCACTCACTCACTCTTTACGACCTGTTTGGACACTGGTGGTCTTGTTGTAATCTTTCACACCTTGCTGTGCAAGACCGCGTCCTTTGATTTGAATAAAATTAATAGGAGTATGATATTGTGTTTCTTCAGCACGTTTGACATAGTCGAATTTGTACAACGGCTTTTGGTGTTTCTGGCCGTGAGAATCAAGGAAGTGTATTTTGTCGCGACCTAAGGCATTACAAGGATAACAAGTTGTGACGTCATCTTTGAGATTACATGATTGATAGGATACGTTTAGTTATAATCATTTCCACCTCGACATTGCATTGTTATATGGCAGTGTATTTTATTGTTTTAGAGTGGTTGTAACTGTGTTACATTGTTCCTGTGGAGATTCGGTAGACGCTCATTGCATTATGTTTGGACAGTGATCAACCGTCAGGGAGTTACTATGTTTAGATGCTGGTCTGACTACAAACATGATTTGCATTTTTGGTAAACATTTCTCTTAATAATTATGTATACTGTCTATTATTATTAACAGTACTTAGCATTTGATTGTACTTTTATCAGCAAAGTAAGTTCTCACTATGTTCAGACTTTCTTTCTCCAAAACGGGAGAGTGTTATATTGAAGCATATTTTATTGTATAACAGTGATTGTAGCTGTGTTCTATTGTTTCTGTTGGGATTTGCTAGACACGCATTGCATTGTGTTTGGACGGTGATCAGTCGTCAGTAAGGTACTATATTTAGATGCTAGTAAGGTGTGTAAACTTTCGGTCCGGTATACCGCTTACGGTGATAGTATGTTACCGAAACTTCTGTAATGTTCTGTGTTATGAGGGCACAATATGGAACTTATCAGAAGCTGGTTAAACTACTAGTATATAAGGGGACAAGAGCTCTTCACGTATCTCTCACGCATTTTCATCACATAGGAACCACCTTTCATGTGAGGCTCGTTCATGATCCTTGAGCTTGACCACTGTCGCCGCTGGGTGAATATATGAATATTGTACTGCCACTCTATTATGCAACATCACCGTTTACAATATAAATTGCTTGACAGTCCTATCATAGGGTATTTTTCAACTGCGAAGTCGTCTGATTTCCACCAGGGCTTAACTACTTGCCTCACGGAACCACCTGTTTGCCTGTACATAAGGGCTTGCAACAATGCTGCTGTTCGTCGCTGGTCTCATCACCATGTCGTGTCTCACCCTGTCCGTGCTCTGCGCTGATGATGGTAGAGACGCCCTTCTATACCAAGTGGACATCTTCCTGCCCCCTAAGGAGGGGAGGGATGAGACAGCGGATATACTGCACATTAAGGAGACAGTGAAACATCTATCTGACATCGATGTTCTTTTTTCATTTAAGGTTTGTACAGTCAACAAACCATAATGCATAGCGTCATCGATAACCCAGTGCATTGTAATTACATCTCCCTGATAATTACCATAAATACCCTTGGCCTAGGCACAACTACCTTGGTATTATTATTTGCATCACCTTCAGGATTCCCGTTACCACTCACTCACTCACTCACTTTTTTTGTGCAAAACAATTGCTTTTTGTTGAACAGGAACTCGGGAATCCACGAATTATTCTTGGTAAGTTGACTTTACAATTTGCTTTAATTGTCATTAAATAAAAATAAACGTATGTTTACACTAGGAGTGTATACCTACCGTAATTATATGTAAGTTGGTAATGCTGAATGGTCATCTTGGTAGGTTTTAAGTAATTAACCATAAATGACAAGGTCATTTGGTATATATTTTAAAGAAACGATGGATTTGTCGTACTTTACATGGTTCTTATCTTATTTGTTTCACCAAAATACTTAGGAGCAATCTCGGCACACAAGGTCGAAGGTTTTTGTGAGGTCTATGAATGTGACATAGATTGGCTTCTTCTGCTTTCTGTACTTTTCCTGCAGCTGTTGTTTGAGAAGTTAATGTTGTCCGTTGGTCATGCTACCCTGAATCGACCCTGCATTTCGCAGGCGTGAGCTTTCAGCCAATCATGCATCTCCCTCTGCGTCTTCCCAAAGGCTGAAAATGAAGCGTCATGGAGGGTGTCTCTCAGATGGCCCCATCTTTGCTTGGAATCTCCCTGTGGAGGCTCTGTGACCATATAATCATTCAGGGCACCAGTAAAAGAGTCCACTCCCTGATGGCGTGAGGTATTGCCGACATCTTTATGAGTCGTTCCCTCTAGCTTAGTGTGGTACTTGGACCAGGTCACCTTGTGCTGAGGCTTAGTCTAAAGAAGGATAGGTGCTACACAGGTAGTGGTTGTGAGAACAGCATGAGAAGTAAATTTTATCCATCTTGCCAAATTGTATTCTTTCATTAGAGTCGCCAAACAGTTATAGCTGTTCTTGAATGGTGATCCCCTTGATGATGGTCTGGAGCAGGTCGCAGAACTGGATCTCGTTGTTTTGCCTTCTGTGTGGAACAGCGGGTGGTATCGTACAGCCTTATGAGGCCAGTCGGACGTGACGAGTCGGAGGGTCATAGGTCTCTCCACTCCACTCTTGCCAGGTTGTATCATTCTGGGCATTGAGTTCTTGTCAGCAAAGCCCGTGGTGTGCTTTTTGGCTTGATCAGCTCCTGCAGCATGGCGATGTCCACTGGTCAGGCTGGTCAGATCACAACACATTGATACCACCCACGATCGGAAGCAGCCCTTGGTGTTACATTCTACGCCAATCAAGCAAGACTTATCACCGGTAGACACCTGCTTCCCAGGTTGTGCCATCACTGTGAGGCAATGCTGGACCCCGTTCCACAAAGAGATCTTGAAGCTAAAGGTGATTGTAACTCCCATACTTTAACATACAGTTACGACAGTCGTAGCTCTAAGATTGCTTTGTGGAACTGGACACTGCTACCTCTCCAGGGGGTATGCCTGGGCAGCTTGATGTGGACGACCAGCTGTTGCCCATGCAACGTCTTGCTGATACACACAAGGGAACGGCAAAATCAAAAGAGATGCCAGATAGCCGCTAGGAAGCTGTAAATTATAATTTGACTTCTCAATATTTAAATACACAATGCCTGCATGGTACATTTCTCTCCTACAATGCAAGGCATATGCAATCGTTTTACAGTAAAACATGGAAAATACACAGGTATTGTATTATACATCAAACTTTCAGAAAGTGAATAGGGCTTTCGAAGACCAGTATATACTTCGCATGGTTGCAGGACATATAAATCTTCCAAATAAAACCTGATGGTAAGACATTTGAGATGTGTGACTATTTATTATTTATTTATTTGGATTTTGAGTTTTCTGCACATGTTTCAGTTCTTGACGTTGAGAAAGCATGCAGTTGGCCCCAGTTGACAGGCTTTCTATCAAGCAAAGGATATGAGTTCAGCGTCACATCCCTCTACTACGACAGTGACTTCGCCCAGGAGCTCGGTGTCAACATGACAAAGGATATGCTTGCGTCATCCTTCAGGAATCGTGACCTTTTGATGGGAAAAATGACATTTCCTATGAAAGGTAAAAAACTGTAGGAACTTTTCTAAGAGAAACCCCTGAATATTGTTTAGGTCTATGATCATGTTTGCATTGCAAGCAACGAGGAAAGCAAATTATAGATGAGTTATATAATGAGTTACCACCCCACCCCCACCCCCACCCCCCCCCCCCCCCCCCCCCCCACCCCCCCACCCCTTACTTACAGGCACATACTTCTGTGAGAGTATTGTGTGAGTGGATGGCGCTAAGCTTGTCAATCAAATGAATATCTGTTATATAAGTATAAAACGTCAACACCAGAGAACAACAAGCCTCGATTATCTTGCGAAACAGATTCCATTTGGCATAAAAGGAAAAATAGTGGTGAAAATCAATGATGACACCAGATATTCGCGATGAGGGTAGGAATGCCCTGCACCCGAGTATTTGCATAGAAAAGTAAGTGTCTGTTGCCTTGCGCCTCACATCAGTACTACTACCACGGAACGACGGACTGTAAACAGTCCAATCAAGTGATCAATGGACGTACAAAATCAAGGAAAATGTCATTTGTCGACTTCGGGTGGCCTGATCATGATGTGCCCAGAATACATTTACAAAGAATACACAAAGGAAACGAGACTGATGTGCTAATACTAAAGCGCAGTAATGGAGATAAATGAAAAAAGAAGTTTTAATTGTCTTCCTGTCTTATTGGCTTCCGTATCATGTGTTTCTCTGTCTGTCATGTTGATTATCATTCTGTTGTTATTTTGTAACCTACTCATATTAATCTCTCTCATGCATGCAATTGTTGTAACTGTTTATCATCCACATATTATATATATTCTGTACCATGTTCATTATTCATCCGGGCGCACGGGTGGCCCAATCGTCTAAGGCGCCGCGATTCGCGGTGCAGAGTTGCGTCCCTTGGGCATGCCAGAAACCAATGGTTGTGGATTCGAATCCCGGTTCGCCCCGATTATGTTTTTAGGTTTGTCAGCACCATACCCGTGCTCGTGGGTTTCATCGAAGTGGTAAACGTCTGAGTCCTGCATCACTTCGAGCTTTCCTCCCACATTAAGCTGACACGCTGCGGTATTACTGGAATACTATTAAAAGCAGTGTTAAACCCAATTCACTCACTCATTCATTTTTTATCCTTGCTGGAAAATGGTATAAGGACCTGAAGCCTGACAACGGTATGAGGATCTACACCGAAACGTCGTCTTTACAGGAAAATAAAGAAGTTTTTATCCAAAATTGTGTATACTTTGCCTCCTGTTATATTTATGATTTTAGGGCCATACAAACTTTAGCCATGATGGAAATATAGCTCAGCCAATACATGCTGGAACATGTGATGATAATATACACATCGGGTAAATGGTTATCTTAAGTTACATTTGGCATATAAACGGAGAATAAGACTATGACCTCGTAGCTTATAACGATGCAGCTTAACACTTCATGGAAAATAACAGGGCATAACATACAAATATGGCATAACCGAATTTGGAGCAATAGTAAAAATATACTGTTGTAAAATCGCCCTGATTGCCTTAAAGTTTGTGGTAAAAATGTTTCTAAAGGGATACAAAAATATCTTGCTGTTTATAATATCCTTTTAATTGTACCGCATTACTGGCGAGAAATATTTCGACCATATTTCACGGGATCTAAACTACGGTGAAGTTAGATACATGATCAAATCAATACAAACCTTTCTGCAATATGAAGATATCCTATTTTGTTGACACTGTAAAATATCTCATTCACTTACAGGCTTAAAGACAACTTTATCTTTAAAACAAGCCATCATCTGACTCAGTATTTACAATTTCTGTCTGACGCCACACCCCACGTTATAGTGCAAGTATTCATGATAGAAAACGTATGATGTCCGAAAACCTATGCTGCTGAAAGCTCTGATCGAAAACAGGACAATCCGCGACGATTGTCCGGTTTTCGATCACATTTGTCGGAGTTGTTTTTTTTAATCTTTGATTATATTTTTACGCGGAAGATGATTTTTCCCGAGGACTACTGTTTTAAAAAACGCGATTTTCCGCATTTCCGCAGAGATTTCACATCCCTGAACTTTATGATCGTGAAATGCAGTTGGTATTACATCAGCGTTTTTTAAAAGGAATAATACGTTATGAGTACCATCTGAATAATCTCATATCGTGTTCCTTTCAGGATTGCCAACGCTTGAATACAACAACATGCTAAAGTGGTTTATCGAGAGACAAGTAGACATCATAAATGATGGCGAGCCATTAGCTTCTTTCAGAAATCTCGCCGAGTGTCCGGTTCAGGTAAGCCCCTCCTCAAGCAATTTCATTGTTTTATTATGATACATAACTAAAGCACCAGTGTTGACTTGTGTGCCAGAACTACCGCAATAGTTCGTTAATTAAAACACACGTGTTATTATCCCATGAACATATGTTCTCAAGTTACCAGTTTGTCTTGGCCTTCCTATGTTGGTTTATTTTTACTCTGTTGTAATTGGCTTATGCTGTGTTACATTTGGACCATGCAGTAACAGACAACGTATTTATGGAAAGCGGAAGAATAACTGTTTAATAGACGATTATTCTCGTATTTTGGGGAATTACAGGTAGTGTTCTTTAATATCTGTACATAGAGAATCTCACCAGAGTGTCTTTTAATATCAAATATATCAACACGAGTTGATAAGAGTGGAAAAATTCCGAGGCTTGCCGAAGATTTTTGCCCCTTTTATCAACGAGTGTTGATCTATTTGATATCAAAAGACACGAGGGTGAGATTTTATTCATCATCCAACATCATTCTTCCAACCTTTTCAATTTGTAGACAGTAATTAGCAGTGTTTTCAGTGTAAAAAGTACTGCTAACAGCTTCAGTAGCAGAGCCATTAGTGATGTCATTTGATTGTGACGTCATGATAACTGGTGACGTCAGAATGGTCTGCAAAGCATTGTGATGTGATTTCATTGCAGCGATATCTACAGTATAGATATCGCTTGATCTAATCCAAGCGATATCTCCTGTTGGAGCCAGTTTTGGATGAGGAATAATAATTTATTACCCACGTGGTGAAGATACAGGTGGTAAGATACTAAATCCGTACGTCACACGTGTGTCGTACAAGGTTGACCTTGTTTTATTCGTTTTGATTGGATAACCGTGACCTCTGTCACACCGGGACTACTTTTTTCATTCATAAAGAATCGCGAGACGTCATTCATTTTGCGATTACAAGGCAGAACTGAAGAAATTCATGAGAACGAGAGATATATTAAACCAAACAAGATAGTCACACGCATCAAATCCGGTTTGCATTCTATATAAGTTATGCATAGAGCTTCTACAGACATATAATCGAGCTAGATCTATGAATCGATTTACAATGTACGACTGCCGATCGAGCGCGTCCCTTGAGCGTTACGCACCCGACCAATTTCGCAACTTTCAATTTGATTTAACGTAAAAGGATAAGCGTGTTGAAATGAAGTCTGTTTAAACTATCTGGACAGATATCGAGACTTACTTGGGATGATCCGGTTGTGCCATCGGTGTCCTCTTTGAAGCGTATTTTGTGACGCTATTTCGGGAGGTGTTGTTCATGAATGAACGAACACGACAGCACGACCAGATCACTTAAAGTTCACAGTTCCGATACATCATTCGAAAACTCCGTTGAGTGTGCCTGACTTCTGATTTTGTTGCCCCAAACATCCCAAATGTGAACAATAACATTCCCTATCTCTAGCGTAAAACGCTGTGAGTGGATCGCGGTTGTATTTTCTTGTTCCGGTGGCGACCTTGCCCTTCGATCGTTCGAAGCTGGCACTGACATGCAAGCAGATTTGAGTTTGTTGATTTTTACGTCTTCAGTATATAGGGTGGTACAGTTAACATGAATGTATTTGGCGAACAGTCTGATTTCCCTCTTCCAAAATGGTACGGACATGATATAAATTCAGCTGATAGATCAAGGAAACCGAACCATTTTGATTGCACAGACGGGACCCCGGCAGTGTGACCGACTGTTGGTCCGATATTCATAAGCGCGGCGCTAATGTGACATTTCAAATGTTCTTATCGGTGTCCTGCGTACTAACAACATGGCGCTTGAATCACCATAAGTTGAAGACTTTCTTCCAAAAGGATTTGAGCGTCGGTGCTGGTTTGTTTGCAAACAGAACAGCAGGCGCATGTTGTTAATGCGTATGCATAAACATGTCAACAATGCCCATATTTGGTCATATATCAATATTGATGCGCAACCAGATTTTGCAACCGGTTTCAGTTTGGTCTGTCAACGAACGAAAGATGTTATGTATTTACACTTAAATATATATTTAACGTGGGTAATAAATAAAATACCATACTCATTCTCTATATATGCATGGTTCCCTGTGTGAAGAAAATGTTCACTGTCTGTTCATGAGGATTATTTTTCAAACCATTTCAGATGATATACATTGAACCAGCCAGCAACCATCGTATGTCTGGATATACCCAATTTTTCGATGTCGCCAGGGACTGTCAGCTTGTTGTCACACGAATGGAAAACCTGGATTCCTACACAGGAGTGTGCCAAGGAGACTAAAATCATACGAACATGTTACATCAAACTGATCAGATAATAATTTAAAATTATTAGATTGATTTAAAGACACAGGATTGTCCCTGATGAAGATGCGGAACAAATGCAATTTCTCTCACTGAATAAAAACATTAATTCCATCTGAATTTTATTTAATGTCAAGTACATTGTACATGTGTATGTTACACTCCCGTGACGTTCAGCTACAATTCAAACGTGATGCATCGTGATGATATTTCAAATTCTACAATAGTGCACATCACTAGCTTGAACTGCAGGAGCCGACAACATACATTATCAGCTCCTGAAACGCTTGCCAGAGTCATGTATGGAAACGCTGCTTTATATATTAGATGAAATATGGACACAGGAAATTTCTCACCTTCATGGCAAAATGCCATTATCATTTCCATACCAAAGACTGACCGGGGCCACA